ACCATTGATCTGCTTGTTTTGGACCCCTGAGTCCTATATTTTTTTACTCCAGGGTCCCCTTAGCCCTATCCCTCTCCCTACCGTGCCCTTCCCCTAGTCCCTGCCCCTTTGCCTTCCCCAGTCTAGTCCAGCCCGGAAAAACTCCCAGTTTTGTCCCAACAGAGATAACTGGTCCCAGTCTCAATCACTAGGTTCAGAAAAAGGGGTCCTGAGGCACCAAGAGCACCCAAGCTTCTTATCTCCAGGAGTATTCTTGTTACCCTAGCAAATATCCTTCATCCACCCCTCCTGTGCTCTGAGCAAAGCAGGGGCTGAAAGAGAGGAGAGACTTAGTTTATTTTAGGTCTGGGATATGAGGCTGGGCTTTCTCCCAGGGTCAGACAGGGTGGAAGTTGGGGTGGTGACTCACAGATGATGGAGCCATCAGTTCCCTAGGCAAACTCCTGAGTCAGGGCAGTGACAGAGCCCCTGTACTCTCCCATCTCTCTCTCTTAGACACACACACGCACACACACGCATACAAAGCAGCACCCCAACTTAAGCAGGCTCTGGTCCCAGATTCCTGGTAATAACTTGGTTCCTACTCTACCTCCCAGTATCCCCCATAAACTAAAAACCAAACTCGTTGCCATCGAGTTGATTCAGACTCATAGGGATCCTATAGGACAGAGTAGAACTCCCTCATAGGGTTCCTAAGAAGCGGCTGGTGGATTCTTACTGCCTACATTTTGGTTAGCAGCCGAGCTCTTAACCACTGGGCCACCAGGCTCCAATATCCCCCATAGCAGTTCCATAATCTTCATAAGTATACCTCTTTCTTTCCCCCTGTGAAATCCAACTCCTACTCATCACCCTAAAGGTCCTTGGGTGGCTCAAATGGTTTGCACTTGACTACTAACCTAAAGGCTGTCAATTCAAACCCACCCAGTGGCACCATGGAAGTAAAGGCCTGGTTATCTGTTTCCATAAAGATTACAGCAAAGAAAATCCTATGGGGCAGTTCTACGCTATAACATATGGTCTCATTGTGAGTTGGAATCAACTCTACAGAAACTGGTTTTTTGTTTTACTCATCACCCTACCTCAGGGCAGGAAGAAATGGGGTCCCTGGGGCCAAATCTAGGAGACTCAGGCCAACAAGGTGCTCTGATCTGTTTGTTCAGCAAAGTCCTTACATATGTGGTTCCGTGTCTTTTTTTTTTTTTTTTTTTTTGCATCAGCACATGAAGAAAATTATATTTGTATGATCCTCTTCAGAGCCCTGGTGGCACAGTGGTTAAGAGCTCGGCTGCTAACCAAAAGGTTGGCAGTTTGAATCCACCAGCCACTCCTTGGAAACCCTATGGGGCAGTTCTACTCTGTCCTATAGGGTCACTATGAGTCAGAATTGATTCCACTGCAATGGGTTATATGGGTTTATGATCCCCTCAGGTAAGTAAGAGAGGTTGCTCAACCAGAAGCTACTAGCCAGAGGTCTCTGGCAGTCCCAGGTCTCTCCAAACTTTGAGAGCTGATGGACTTCAAGGTAGAACCCACTTGTGTTTGCTACAACACACCTGTTTGGGAAGTTTATTTCACCGAGACCTCAGCCTAAGCCACCTGTACCCAACCAGGTTTCTTACAGCCCCAACAAGGCCCTTGTCAATTCTTTGAAATCAGTACACCAATCCTCAGCGCTCTCAGAATCTCCAGGTATTGAGAATCTGAAAGAAGTCAGTGAGTCTTGTCCCAGGGAAATCACATACAAACTTCCATCAAGTTTCAGGGGATTAATGGATTGTGCACTCAATCCTTCCCCCAACCCCTCACCATGGAGACAATGGACCTAAATTAAGGATTCCTACTCTAGAATCTTAACCCCTTATAGAAACCCAGCCCAGTTTAGGGGACCAACAGTGCCGTGGGAAAAAACGAGAGCTTTAGAATTAGTTGGGATTGGATTTGGATTCCACCTCAGCCCTTTCTCTCTGTTGACTTGGGTTAGCCACTTCACTCCTCTGAGCCTCAGTTTCCTGACAGTAAAATAAGATTCATAATACCTTCAGTGCTGGATAGTTGGGAAGATTCAATGGGATAAAGTTAGGCTAAATATATACCCAGGGCCAGGCTTATAGTATATACTATGTTGTTTTTGTGTGCCGTCGAGTGGATTCCAACTCATAACTACCCTACAGGAGAGGGTAGAACTGCCCCATCGGGTTTCCTAGGCTGTAATCTTTACAGAAGCAGATCACCAGGTCTTTTCTCCTGTGGAGCTGCTGGTGGGTTCGAACAACCTACCTTTTGGTTAGCAGCCAAGCACTTAACCATTGCGCCACCAGGGCTCCTTCCATATGCTATATAAACCATACTTCCCACCCTTCTCCTACCCTACTGAAACAGCATGGCTCCTGGCTTTAGAACTTGCACTTGTATCCTGAACTCCTCTGTGGAAATTCACTCTTCTGCTTCTAAAACTCTAGCCTTCAGGGCAGGCAGGCTGGTGACAACAGGAGCCTGGTGAGCGTTCTGCCCTTGCCCTTCACCTCTTCTGCCCCTCTGTGGGGCAGACCATGATTAATAATAGTCAGTCATCACAGCAAATCATTCCTACTAAGAGATGAAGGGACAGAAGGTACCAGAGAGGTCAGATCTGAGAGAAAACAGAGATATTTGAGACACATGGGCTGTGCCAGAGACAAGCTGAGAGATACATCAGGCAGAGAAAAAAGCTGAGAAGAGACAAAGCATTTAAAGGGGCAGTGGGCTCAGACGAGAGGGTATTGGGTTTAGAGTCAAAACACTTAGGTTCTAGACTCAGCTCCACCACTAACTGGCTAGCCAATGTGACCTTGGACAAGTCACTTCATCTGTCTACACCCATCTCCTCTTCTGAACGAGAGACTGGACTGATGACCTCCAGGGAACCCTCTTGGCTGGCCTTTCCGGGCCAGCTTCCAGGCCTGGAGGGCTATACTGAAGCAGCTCCAAATATGAGAGAACCCCAAGTTCAGGCCCAACCCTGAGCAGAGGAAAGGAGGGCCAGGCAAAGCCCGGCATGGTGGGAGGGAAGGCAGGAGGTGTTGGGGCCACTGGGAGAGGACTTATAAGGGCAGAGAGAGCCAAGAGAGGAGGGATATTGGGGAGAGGAGAAAAGCCAGCCAGAGAATGACTAAGGGGCTCCCGGTATAAACAGGAGCTGAGAATGGACAGGGAGGGGGCCTGTTTGAGTTGGCCAAGGTTAGGGGGGTGGAGTGGAGAGGAGGATTGGGGCAGGACATTATGTCCCCTATCCCTCACCAAGGCTCCTGGGAGGAACTGAGTCATATACCTCCCTCCCTGCACACACACCCCTCCCGCCCCCACCCATTTTGCCTCTACCCCAGCTCCCAAATCCTGGGAAAATCTAAAGAGCTTGCCTGGGCTGAGAAACGAGAGAGCCTGATTCACATACATGTGCTTTGCTGGGTTACACAGTAGTCCCAAGGGGGGTTCTGAGCCCCACGGCTTGAGTAGTTTTCACCTAGAGGTTACCTCTGTGGCAGTGCTGTGTTTAAAATCCTTACCCAGAGATTCCTTGGGTTCCTGGCCTAAAAAAGGGTCAGGACCTGCAGATGTGAGAGTGGTATGGGGCCCAGCATCGTCCTGCAGTCTGACCAGCTTCTGTTGGAAGAAGATGATCTGGAGAGGGGCTTTTAAAAACAGCTGGGTAGTCTGGGACCAGAAGTAAAGCAGCAAAGTGAGGGGGAGAGAGACATGGCAAGAGGAAAAAAATTGACTCTGGGCACTTTCATTCTGAGCTCCCCAGGCCAGACTAGGGCAGGGGGCTGGGGAAAAGAGGGAACAGGGTCTATTCTGGAAGGGGAGGAGTCCTGGAGGCAAAGGGCAGGAAGAGGGCTGGAAAGGAGAGGGGGTTAGGAGAGAAGCTAGGCCCCTTGGTCCCCCTCCCCCAGACTAAGATAAAGATTAGAATCCTGAAAGGTGATCTCATCACACAGAACCAGGGCCAGGGGAAGGAGTGGGGAGGGGGCCACTGTCTTTCACTACTAGAGTCCCTTCCTCTTCCACAGAAGATCTGAGGAGAATTAGGGTCCTGGCTTCCAGCTCCCAGATCCTACAGCTAATAGAAGCTGAAGGTTGGAACACTTTACAAGACACCACCCCCACCCCCTGCTACAATTCTCCAGGTTTGGATCAAGAAGGGACTAAGGGACCAAAGGCCCCCATACCACTCCCCGGCTCTTGGCCAACTGCCAGATCCAAGGTAGGGGCTCAACAGAGGTTTCCATATCCTACAAACGAGAAGGGGGAGAACTGGGGCAGAATCCTTGTGAGGGACCCTAAACTCCTGGGTTTTCAATTCGGCCAGCTTCAAGGGCGGGGGCGTGCAGGAGCCGGTGTAGGTCCTCTTTCAGGCTGCCTGGGAGTGCTCTGTACCTCAACTCATGAGTCCCAAAACCAGCTGGCGGGAACCCAGGCATCCGGTGGCCCCAGGAAGGCAAGAGGGAATCCCAGTTGGTCAGATGCCAGAGGAGTCTCCTGTCTCTTTAGACCCCAAAGTCTCCTCCCTGAAGAAGTAGGGGAGACCCTACACACATGTACAGGCTCCCTTCACCCTCCAGAGGTGATTCCTTTCCTCATTAGGAAATTCTCCGCTCCCTTTTTCCGACTCCTTTTCCGAGCGTTTACGTTGTACATCTGGAAAGGCGGAGGGGAGGGGGGAAGAGGGGGAAGCGCGAGAAGGAGGGGGAAGAGCCCAAACCGCCCAGTCTGACCCAGTCCGGACAACAGCCTCCAGCTGGGGCTGGGGAAAGGGGGGCGTAGAGGTGCGCCCCCCCACGCCCCTTCGGGGTGGGGGGCGCGGGCTCAAAGTTCCAAGGACCCAGGAATGCCCCCCCGCCCGCCCCCCTGGCCGGCGGGGGGAGGGCTCAGCCGGGAGTTTGGCAAACTCCTCCCCGCGTTGAGTCATTCGCCTCTGGGAGGTTTAGGAAGCGGCTCCGGGTCGGTGGCCCCAGGACAGGGAAGAACGGGCGCTATGGGGAGCCGGACGCCAAGGTCCCCTCTCCACGTCGTGCAGCCGCGCTGGAGTCCCCGGCGCCGAACTCTGCTGCCGCCGCTGCCGCTATTACTGCCGCTGCTGCTGCTGTTGCCGCCGCCACCCCGGGTCGGGGGCTTCAACTTAGACGCGGAGGCCCCAGCAGTGCTCTCTGGACCCCCGGGCTCCTTCTTCGGCTTTTCGGTGGAGTTTTATCGGCCGGGGGCGGACGGGTGAGTGCGGAGGGCTGGCGGCGGGTTGGGGGAGAAGGTCTGGAGACTGGGGGCGCGGCTGAGGTCTGGAGGGGACCAGGGCTGGAGTTTGAGGGGCGGAGTTTGGAAGGACTAGGGCTAGAGTTGGGGGCCCGAGCTAGAGCAGGGGGGAGACCGTGGCCGGCGTGGAAGGGGGCCTGGAGTTTGAGAGAGATCAGTGGGGAGACGTGTGGGGTGGGGAGAGGATACGAAGCTGGAAGCTGGAGAAGTCTGGGCAGGGGTCTTTGGGCCAAGGGAGAGGAAAGTGGGCAAATGGAGACAGCAGAGGGTCTCCGGCTGCGATCCGAGGGCTGCCGGGACCGGAGGCGGGAGGGTGTGCAGAGGCTTTGTGGGGGGCCCTGGGAGACCTCGCGATCCAAGGAGACCATTGTGCACAGAGAGAACAGGTCGAAGCAGAATGAGCTGTGCTTAATAAGGGGGAGTCGGAGACTGAGAGGGTAGGAAGGTTAAATGGGGGCCAGCTTCATCCTCCCCTCCCCCCTTAACCCAGACTGGGGAAAGACCTAGGACTGGGGAGGGCAGCTCGCTCGCCTTCTCCTCGGTTTGCTACTCCACCCTCCACTCCAATCTCTGTTCAGATGAGGGGGATTGGGAACATTAGGGGAGTCTCGGGCACTGGCCCTGTGGGCGCCGGGGCTGGGGGGCAGGCTCAGCCAAGGGCGGGTGCTCGGATGTGTCGGGAGGGGTGTGTGTGCGCGCACGAAGCGGGTGGGCGGTTTCCCTCTTCCTCTAGCTCTTGGGAGGAAGAGAAAAGCTGATTTCCTGTAGCTTGTCGGCTTGAGCTGAACTGAGACCGGGACTTCTGGGGCTGAGGTCGGAAGCTGGGGAGACGCTGGCTCACTGGGCCCAAGAACCCAGGGCAGGGGCCGCAGAGAACAGGACACCTGGGAATTCTCAAAAAAAAAAGTGCCTCGTTCCCAGCTCAGCAGGGTGACAAGCAGACCTGGACCCTCGGTGCCTGGAAAATGGGGTACCCACAGGTTTGGGGAAACCGGGGCTAGAGCAGAGGCAACATTAGAACAAGGATATTGGTTTAAATGTAGGAGATGAGAGTAAGGGGAAGGTGGCTGCTCCTGCTTTGGGCCAGGGACCCCCCAGGCCAGATACCCCATCATCCACAGTGACTGGAGCAATCTTTCTCCTAAATCTCTGAGCTTTGAGCTTCCCACTGCTCCCTGCCTCCCCCAAGTATCTCAGGGTTTGATAGGACTTCTGTCTGAGGTGAGCTGTTTTCACACATGGAATACGGTTAACTGATCTCTACTCATTTTCTTTAATTTTTGGAGAAAAGAGGTTAATGTAGCTAATTCCATGGGTGGGGGGGGGCGGTTGCAGGGCAAGTTTCTCCTTTGTGTGGAGGCCTTGGGGATGGGGAAAAAAGAAAGATGTTTAGGCCCCAGCTGTTAGTTCTGTGCTATTCAAGGTCCCCACCCAACCCCCACCCCACCCCCCTGGCCTCTTGCCCAAACCCCGTTGCATCACCCTGGCCTGGAGCCTCTGCCAGGCCTGGCCTCCCCAGACCCCCTCAAACTTCTCACCACAACCCTAATGGAGTAGAGAAGGGGGAGGGAAGGAATGGAGTCTCTTCCCCTGGATCAAGGTATTCAGTTGTCTTGCTTTTAACCTTCCTCTTACCTCCCACCTAACAAGAGTGTCATTTCCCTTATAAAACACTCCTCTAAAACATCTGGACTTTCATGTACACAGTCCTGGTCCCCTAGGTGTCTGTTTGGCCCTTGGCCTGATCCTACAGTCCCTAAAGCCATCTTCTAAAACAAGACCCAGCTTTCCCATCCCTTCCCCCTCCCTTCCTGCTCATCTTCCCTCCCAAGAGAACCCAGGTGTCCACCTTGCACTCCTCCCCCTCTCATTTTCTCTTTACAATCCTCTCTTAGAGTAGGACTCAGAACGTTCTGCCTCCCAGTTCTCCCTCCGAATGACCTCCCACCACAGCTGGGCCTTCAGCCCCCACCCGCCACCTCAAACATAGCCCCTCACCTGTGGCCATTGCCCGAGGGGGAGGGCGCAGTGTTCTTGGTCTCTCCTGCATCACCTCTCATGATGAACACCGGAGCAGCATCAAGGGACAGAGCTGAGCACCAGAGAGGTTACCTGGTAGGGAAAGGGCAAAGCTGTAAGGACTGGCAGTGCTTGAGGAGAATCCTGGCCCCCAGTTACTGTTTTTTTGTTGTTGTTATTCTGAGTATTCAATGAGACAATATATGGGAAAGGCACCTAGTCTATATGGGAGCCCTGGTGGCGCAGTGTTTAAGGGGTTGGCAGTTTGAATCTACCGGCCACTCCTTGGAAACCCTATGGGGCAGTTCTACTCTGTCCTATAGGGTCACTATGAGTCAACATCGACTCGACAGCAATGAGTTAGGTTTCATTTTAGTCCATAGAGGTTGCTCAGTATATGTGAGGCATGGTTTTTATGGAGTAGCTGTTTTCTATTTCTGGGTCTCTTCTCCTTGGCCACTTAGTTCTTTGTCTTAAATTTTCCTCCATTTCTTACTTGCTTTTAGTACTTGCTTGTAATAGTGATATTAATACTAGTCCCTCACATTCCTTTTGCACTTGTTTGCATATCTGTTTTTCCACTGGACCGTTACAAAAATCTTTGCATTAGGCCGAGCAAGCATTGTAGCCCCATTTTATATAAATAAAAACTGAGGCTTTAGGAGTCATAGAAGTTTCAAACTAGAAGTTACTTTAGGGATCATTCAAGGAAACCCATCGTTTTATGGGTTTAGTATCCTAGGCCTAGAGAGAGAAAGTGACTTGGCCCAGGGTACAATCTGGAAAGGTGGGCTGGCCTCAGCCCAGATCCTTATTCTCTCCTGATATGGCCAAGCAGCGAAAAAGAGGAAGACCCTCAACAAGATGGATTGACACAGTGGCTGCAACAATGGGCTCAAGCATACCAGTTGTGAGGATGGTGCAGGATGGGACAGTTTTGTTCTGTTGTACATAGGGTCGTTATGAGTTGGAATCAACTCAACGGCACCTAACAACAACAACACAGCCAAGCAGAGGCAACTCTTTCTCCCCAGCAAGCCACGCATACCCCCTTGCGAACGCCAGAGGTCCTACACTGACCTGTCTGGGGCTGCTATAGGACCTGTAGCCAGGCCCTGGTCCACTTGCAGTTTCCCACCCCCAACCTTGTCAGGCCAACAGAGTCAAACAGTAACCGTGTATTGAACGGAGACTTAGTTAATCAGAAGCCTAGCTGGGGAGACACTAGAGAGGAGAGGAGAGGAGAAGCTGGCAGTGGAGTAGACCAGAACACTAGCCTAGGAATCGGGATTCTTGGCTTCTGGTTTTCATCCTGGGAAGGACTCTGAGTGACCTTGGAAATGTTACCTAACCTCTCCTGAGACTTAGTTTTCTCATCTTTAAAATGAGGGCATGAGTCCCGGTCAGCAGTTTTTAAACTTTTTCTTAGGTAGCAAAAAACGAATTTTTTTTAAATTGTTGTACTTTAAGTGAAAGTTCACAATTCAAGTTAGTCTCGCATATAAAAATTTATATATACATTGTTATGTGACCCTAGTTGCTCTCCCTATACTGTGACAGCACATTCCTCCTTTCTACCCCGAATTTCCCAAGTCCAGCCAGCTCCTGACCCTCTCTGCCTTCTCATCTCACCTCTGGACAGGAGCTGCCCATTTAGTCTCATGTATCTACTTCAGCTAAGAAATGCAAAATTTTTTTTATTAAAGATTGTTTCTTTATAAAAATTCAAATGATATAAAAGGGAGTAAGGTGAAACAATCTTTTTTAAAAATGATATCTTAGGGCATTCTACGTTAAACAGATAAAAAAGTTTTTTCTAAAAGAAGATGGGAAGGGGTATCAGGACCAAGCTGGCCTCCTCTTGCTCCACAGGGTAGTGCTGAGGCATCTAAAGAAAGTCGTAAAACCAGTAGACTCGCTCTACTGTGCCTTCCAGCTGTGGTCACCTGGGTCTCCAAAAATCAACTCTGAGATTTCAGGGTTCTGTGGTTTCAAAATAAATTATGGCAATTATTTCTTCTCTTGGACTCCATATTTTTTAAGAGTTTATCTGTCAAACTGCATTGAGTAAGGAATAATTAATTCCTTTTCCCATTTTTCCCATTAACCAAAAGTATCTATAGCTGCCAATCAGAGCTTCTGACCAACATGAGATAACCAGGTTCCCCACACAAGCTGATATAATTCCAGCCAAAAGCAAATACACTTGAGGTTTTAGTTAGCCTGGGTCCCCTTATCAGGTAAATGCATGATTTCCATTAGGCTTTCTGAAATATTGAAAATAGCCTAAGGACCCTCCACTGTTACCTTCTTGGATCCCTATGAGGGCCCAGCTGCTGCGGGATTTGGGAAGCAGGAAGTCGGAGTGGGAGAATAAGGACAAGCTGTCTTTCATGGTATTCCAGGCACAAGGTGCCTCACTTGGCACCTTGGGGACAGCATTGTTTATTGGATTGACCTGGGGACGCTGGGATGGAAGGGCCACTTAATCCTCAGGAATAAGCCATGTGTGGTAGTCAGGGAAAAGGAGCCCTGGTGGCTCAGTGGTTAAGCACTCAGCCGCTAACTGAAACGTCAGCAGTTCGAACCCACCAGCCGCTTTGTGGGAAAAAGATGTGGCAGTCAGCTTCCGTAAAGTTTACAGCCTTGGAAACCCTATGGGGCAGTACTACTCTATCTTATAGGGTCGCTGTTAAGTCAGACTCGACAGCAATGGGTTTGTTTTTTTGTTTTTGTTTTTGGTGGTCAGGGGCAGGTCTAGGTCTGTGACCCTGCCTACATACCAGGTCTCCTGAACCTTCACACAGCCAGAATGGATATGCCCCTGGGCCTGTGATCTTGTGGGCTTTACAAACTTTGTAGGGCCTGTCTCTCACCTTCCAACACTGCAAAACTCCACGCTTCATCCTCAGGCCATTCTAGGAGTTCTCAGGCCCAGCTCCTTCCCCAGAGCAGGGGGATGTTGGCAAAACTGGGATGGGAGCAGGATCTCTTGGCCCCAGCCCTGTGCTTTCTAGGAAATAGAATGTCAGAGCTCCAGGAGACTTTGAGATAACCTGTTCAACTTCTTCACCCAGAGAAAGCGGGAAAGGGTATTGCCCCAGTCCACACTGAGCTAGTGCCTGAACCAGAACTCCTGACTCCTGGTCCACAGCTCTTTTCACTGCTTTCTGTTACCACAGTCTAGCTCAGGTCAGTGGCCCTTCCTGCCTTCTGGAGCCTGAGGGCACCAGCCAAGTTCGCTGGGGGCTGTTTTAAGGGGGGGTGTACCCTTCTTTCCTCACACAGCCCTGGGACAATGTAACCTCTTCTCCTCTCCCCCCATCAGTCTCACCTACTGGGGCCTGGCAACTGACCAGGTCACTGTGCCTTTGGAGGGGCTACCTCCCACCCCCCAACTGGATGTTATGCCTGAGTGAGAGGGTGGGGCTCGGTGGGTGGGAGACAAACGGAGAGAAGTGAGACGTTGGAAATTACAGGAAGCCACAGGCAGTAAACATTTCCTGTCCTGAGGGTAACCAAGGCTGGCACCCCACCCCCCATCACTTTAGGAACTCTCCTCTCCTGCCCAGCTCCACCTTTATTCCCCCTGGATTCTGCCTTTGCCCTCCTCCATCCCAAGGCCCTCATAAACCCCTCCTCACTCCCCACTTTAGTCCCCTTGGACCTACTTTCTCAGGTATTCCCATCCCTATTCCTCCTAGGATCCAGTCTGCAGCCCATCTTGGAGATGGCCCAGGACCCACAGCATTTTGTTCTGTTGTGCATGGGGTCACCATGAGTCGGGCAACCTGAAGGCAGCTAACAACAACAACATTCCTCTCGAACCCCACCCCTCTCATCCTTCCCTCACTCAGTGTACCTAGTCCTCTTTGAAGACACTCCCAGCTTTTAGGACCTCTGCTATGTCCCTGGAAACCCTGGTGGCGTAGTGGTTAAGAGCTACGGCTGCTAACCGAAAGGTCAGCAGTTCGAATCCACCGGGCACTCCTTGGAAACCCTATGAGACAGTTCTACTCTGTCCTTTATGATCGCTATGAGTCGGAATCAACTCAACAGCAATGGGTTTTACCACATCCCCGACTTGGGCCCTCTTTCCTTGTGTGAGAGGCTGAGGAAGGTACTCAGATACCAGGGAAGGAGTGGATATTGGGACTGTTGAAAGCTGAAAGGGGACAGAAATCATTAGAGATGGAAAAACTCAACATCTGAGATAGAAAGAGAGAGAGAGAACCCAGAAACTGAAACCAAGAGAGCAAGCAGTCATAGGGGCAGAGGGACAGAGAAATTGAGAAGCAGAGACAGAGGCAGGCACAGGAAAAAAGCAGAGACCAAGGCTGGCAGGGACACTGGCACAGGAGCCGGGTCAAGTTGCCCAGGCTACCAGATACAGTCCTCATGGGAGACCCTGAAGGAGAAAGCCAAGAAGGTGAGAGCTGCGTGGAGGCATCAGGGCCAAGGGGTCCAGGGACGGTAACAGGCAGATTGCCCAGGACCTTAGCTATCTTAGCTATGACCATTCCATTCCATAGGACCACATTGGAGGCAACCTCTCCTCACTGTCTCCAGGGGGAACTGAGGCACTATGTCCAGAACTAGGACCTCACTAGAGCAGATCTGGATTCAGACTCCTGGGGATGGTGTGTGAGAAAGACTGAGACAGAGACCCAGCCAGGACGGGAAGGTCCAAACCAGGGCCTCAGGGTGAGGGCAGGCCCAGACCCAAGCCCAGGGGAACGACCTTTCTTCACCAGTCCTCCAGCTCCTGTCTCCACTTCTGCTGTCTGATTTCCAAGACTCACATTTTCCTCCTACACACCCCAGGGCTGGGCAGCTTGATGCCTGGGTCTTGGTCTAGGGAAGGACTCTGGCTTGGTATTAGAAAGAGCAGGCTAGGTGAGAGGGCCCTGGAGTCCCTGGGGCTGCATCTTTAATCTAAGGAGGGACATGGGGAGAGGAAGAAACCAGGGTCCAGGCCCTCTGGTCCCTTTTCCCCTTCAGGAAATTGTCTCTAGTTCCCCCTCGCTTTAATCACAGGGTAAATAGGAGAGAAGAGAGAGCGGAGGTGGGGGGGAGTGTTAGTGACAGCGGCACATGGGGACCGCCTGACTCCAGCCTGTGCTTCTGGCATCTGTGGCATCTTCTGAGATATAAATACAACCCAGGGGGGCATCTACCCCACCCCCTAGCGAGCCCTGGCCCAGTGGCCTGGGGCCTGGGGCCTTCTTCCACCAGGAGAGCAAGGAACCACCCTTGAACTACCTCTCCTTTTCCCTTCACAGGGTCAGTGTGCTGGTGGGAGCACCCAAGGCTAACACTAGCCAACCCGGAGTGCTGCAGGGTGGTGCTGTCTACCTCTGCCCCTGGGGCATCAGCGCCTCACAGTGCACCCCCATCGAGTTTGACAGCAAAGGTAAACAACCCCTTTGGTAGGCAGGGGTGGGTCAGCGAGTGACTGGGGGACAGGACTGCAGCTTGGGGGCAGGGCTTGGGTGGTACGTGGAGCCTGCCCCGTTGTGGCCATGTCCCTTCCTAGCCTGCTGGTTGTCCAGCTCCCTACAGCGGCCCCCCATGGCACTCACACCGTGTTCCCAATTCAGCCCAGCCCAAGGGGGGCGGGCATGATTCAGAAACATGTGGCTCTCATTTCCCCTGAATCACCCACAACTCAGGGAGGCCAGGGCAGCAACACAGACAAAGACAGGGAGAGTCACACAAAACATTGAATTCATTTAACTAAACCCTGACTGAGTAATAGTACATGCCAGGCACTGTGATGGGTACTGCAGGGGATTTAAAGGTGATTAAGCCACCGCTCTCAAGGAGCTCACAGTCTGGAATAGATGCAAAGTAGATGGGAGGGAGACAGAAACTAGAGATAAATAATAACAGCTAACCCTTAAAGAGCACTCACTCTGTGTCAGACACTGTTGTAAATACTTTACATATATTAACTCATTGAATTCTTGATATAAAGAATTATACAACTCTATGAGGTATTATTATCCTCGTTTTATAGGTAAGAAACAGAGAAGTTAAGTAACTTGTCCACAATCACACAACTAGTAAATGGTGGAACCAGGATATGAATTCAGGTAGTCTAGCTGCAGAAATAAAGACACGTGTAGGGACAAAAAGGGAGAAACAGGGAGAGACATGAAAGATGGAGACAGTGGGAGAAAAACTCATGAAATAGATTAATAAAAAAAAAGCCTGAGCCACTCCTGAAGTCCACCTTTCAGCCAAAGATTAGACAGGTCTATAAAACAAACAATAACACACGTGAGGAACGTGCTTCTTAGTTCAGTCAAGTGTATGAGACCAAATGGGTAACACCTGCCCGAAAGCAAAGACGAGATAGTAGGAAGGGACAGGAAAATTGGACGAATGGACACAGGAACCCAGGGTGGACACGGAAAGGGGGAGAGTGCTGACACAATGTGGGGATTGCAACCAAAGTCACAAAACAATTTGTATATAAATTTTTGAATGAGAAACTAATTTGTGCTGTAAACTTTCACCTAAAGCACAATAAAATTTTTAAAAAAAGTCTGAAAGACAGACGAGAATCAGAAGAATAAGAAAGGCTGTCTCATAGAGGGCAGACATAGGGCTTGGGAAGGGAGAGACAGAGAGAAAGTGAGAGACATAAGAGACAGAGATCTCAAAAAAGTCAAGGAAAGAGATGGAGTAAGATGCTGTTAGAGACACAGGTAAGGGCAGAGAAGGACAGCCAGAGGGTTACCCTCTTGGGAAATAGCCACCCATCCCCACTAGCTCCCTATCCCTTTTCACCACAAGCATCCTTGTCCCAGCTAGGTGAGCAGGCAGGGGAGCCAGGGGAAGGCAACTCTAGAACCCCCAGGTTCTGTGTGTGTCTGTGTGTGTGTGGGTGTGTGTGTCTGTGTGTGTGTGTAGGGGGTGCTGAGTCAGGCTGTGCAAACTATCCTTCCCTACACCTCTTTCCAGTGAGTCGTGGGGGCTCAGGGCTTGGAAGTACTTGGCATCCCCAGGCTGAGGGTGGAGGACCGTCCTGGGGAAGAGGGTGGGGGCAGCTCTAGGGTTCAGCTGCCCTTGGGGCCCTGGGCCCAGCATGACTCCCCTCTCTCACTTCCCCAAGGCTCTCGCATGCTGGAGTCTTCACTGTCGAGCCCAGAGGGAGAGGAGATTGTGGAGTACAAGTCCTTGCAGTGGTTCGGGGCAACAGTTCGAGCCCATGGCTCCTCTATCTTGGTGAGGGGGTGGGTGGGCTCAGTGAAATGGTGGGTAGGGGATGGGCAGTGGTTGGATGGAGCCAGATAAGCCTACTGCCCCTACCCTTCTGGCACCCCTAGGCCTGTGCTCCACTGTACAGCTGGCGCACAGAGAAGGAGCCACTGAGCGATCCTGTGGGCACCTGCTACCTCTCCACAGACAACTTCACCCGAATTCTGGAGTATGCGCCTTGCCGTTCAGGTAGGGGCATGAGGGGACCTGTGCCCCATGTCTGCCTTATCTACTTGAGTGTCTTCTTATGCTCAGGGCTGACTCCCCCTGTTAGCCTTTATGTTCACTGTCTTGTCTAGGGAGGCCCTTTCTCTGGTTTGCTCTCCCACCTCCTTCCCCATGCTCTCACCTCTTTCCTGTGTGACCCATGTATGCAGGGCCCATCCTTCACCACCTTCTTCCCTCACAGATTTCAGCTGGGCAGCAGGACAGGGTTACTGCCAAGGGGGCTTCAGTGCCGAGTTCACCAAGGTAAGAGGGTATGCTGAAAGGGAAGTGGCTGGTGGGCAAGTGGACACAGGGAGATCAGGACCAGAAGTTAAACTTACCCCCTTCCCCCTACAGACTGGGCGTGTGGTGCTGGGTGGACCAGGGAGCTATTTCTGGCAAGGTAAGTCCTCCCTATGCCATCCGTTGGCCCCCTGCACACAACCTCCCATCCCTGCTCCCAGCCTGAAATCATCAGTCCTTCCCTTCTCTGCTCCCTTAGCCCCCACCCCAGTTCTCCTTTTCTTTTCTTGAGATTTACATGTCCTATTCCGCCATTTCCCTCCACTCATTTCCCTTCCTTGAACCAGACTTCTGAAATCCTATGTATTTGGCCCCCAGTACCCTCCTTGCCACCTCCCCCCCATCCATCCCCTCCTCATCCCCTTCCCCAGGCCAGATCCTGTCTGCTACCCAGGAGCAGATTGCAGAATCCTACTACCCCGAATACCTGATCAACCTGGTTCAGGGGCAGCTGCAGACACGCCAGGCCAGTTCCATCTATGATGATAGCTACCTGGGTGAGCAAGCAAGTGGGGAGGGACCCACATGGGGAGAGCCTCAAGTGTTGTCCCCACTCACCCCGTTGTGTACTTTCTCCCACTTGGGCAGTCTGGCCCCCCTGCCATGCTTGTCTTGTGCAGGCTGATGGTGAGGGCCCAGTAGGCGTGGGGAAAGTCTTAGGGGATGGACCAGGGCAGAGGGATCCCTGAAGCAAGGATCCTAACATCCACCTACTCTGCCCCCTAGGATACTCTGTGGCTGTGGGTGAATTCAGTGGTGATGACACAGAAGGTAAGTGTATCCCCAAGCTGGGGCCGAGGGAGAGTGTGGCTAGAGACCCAGGAACAGGAAGCACAGGAACTGAGATACGTACCCCAGTTGTCTAACTCCCCTTCCCCCGCCCTCAGCCACAAGTTTTTCCTTTCTTTGCAGACTTTGTTGCTGGCGTGCCCAAAGGAAACCTCACCTATGGCTATGTAAGACCCAACCTGACTCCCCTTTCCCACCCCTCCCCTGGCTAATCACCACCATTCATGGCAGTTTGTGAGGGTTCAAAAGATGGATCAGAACGTGGGCTCTGTAGTCAGACCTGGGTTCAAGTTCTGGCACTTACTCTGGGTGGGTCTTTCTGTTATTTACTTACACTCCGCTTCATTCCATAAAAGACCTTGAGCCTGCTTAACCTGTCTGAGCCTCATTCTCCTCTGTATAATGGAATAATAATAGTTCTGACCTCACAAGGCTTTTGTAAGGCTGAAATGAGATCATGCATGTGAAAGTACTGAGTGAACTGTTAGGCAATCTACAACTAGTAGCTGTTATTATTAGACCAGGACAAGTCTTTTAAAAAGATACAGATAAGAATGCCATAGGAGTTCATTTAATTGATAACATTTATTAAGGCAAGGTAAGAGATAAGCAGATGAATAAGACATCATACTTCATCTCATAAGGTGCTTCTAATCAAGTACATAAGATAAGACACACACACACATAATTATAATCTAATTGGAGCTACTATTTATGAGCCTTCAGTGCATCAGGCACTGCCTATTCATGGTTTCTATTCTTCGTAACGAAAGTGGTTGCAACAGTACATCGACAGGGAACTGCCAGAAATTCAAGCCAGATTCAGAAGAGGACGTGGAACAAGGGATATCACTGCTGATGTCAGCTGGATCTTGGCTAAAAGCAGAGGATACCAGAAAGATGTTTACCCATGTTTTATTAACTATGCAAAGGCATTTGAGTGTGTGGATCATAACAACTTGTGGATAACCTTGCAACCAATGGGAATTCCAGAACACTTAATTGTGCTCATGTGGAATCTGCACATAGACCAAGAGGCAGTTGTTTGAGCAGAACAAGGGGATACTGCGTGGTTTAAAATCAGGAAAGGTGTGCATCAGGGTTGTATCCTTTCACCATACTTATTCAATCTGTATGCTGAGCAAATAATCAGAGAACCTGGACCATATAAAGAACACGGCATCAGGATTGGTGGAAGACTCATTTACAACCTGTGATATGCAGATGACACCATCTTGCTCACTGAAAGCAAAGAGGACTTGAAGCACTTATAGATGAAGATCAAAGACTACAGCCATCAGTATGGATTACACCTCAACATAAAGAAAACAAAAATCCTCACAATTGGGCCAATAAGCAACATCATGATAAAGGGAGAAAAGATTGAAGTTGTCGAGGATTTCATTTTACTTGGCTCCACAATCAACACCCATGGAAGCAGCAGCCAAGAAATCAAACAATGTATTGCATTAGGCAAATCTGCTGCAAAAGACATCTTTAAAGTGTTAAGGAGCAAATACATCATTTGAGGACTAAGGTGCGCCTGACCAAAGCCATGGTATTTTCAGTGGCCTCGTATGCATGCAAAAGCAGGACATGAGTAAGGAAGACTGAAGAAGAATTGATGCATTTGAATTATGGTGTTGGCGAAGAATATTGAATGTACCATGGACTGCCAGAAGAACCAACAAATCTGTCTTGGAGCAAGTACAACCAGAATGCTCCTTAGAAGCGAGGATGGTGAGACTTCGTCTCACGTACTTTGGACATGTTATCAGGAGGGACTAGTCCCTGGAGAAGGACATCATGCTTGGTAAAGTAGAGGGTCAGTGAAAGAGAGGTGGATCCTCAATGAGATGCAACAATGGGCTCAAACACAGCAACGATTGTGAAGATGGTGCAGGACCAGGCAGTGTTTTGTTCTCATAGGGTAACTATGAGTCGGAACCGACTCGACGGCACCTAATAACATTCGTCATAGCAAGCCTATGGGGTAGATATTACTGTTCACATTCTACACAGGAGAAAACCGAGGCTCTAAGAGACCAAGTACGTTGCTTAAGATCACCCAGCTAGTAAATAGCTGGACAAAAATTTAAACCAGGTCTGTCTTCCTCCAAAGTCAGCACTCTTTCTGCACTATGCTAAATTGCAGAAAAGTGGTTAAGGCAATATAACAGTTTAGGAGACAAAATAACCTTCTTTCTAGGGATGGGATGGATCAGAAACTGTTCTGTAAAGGATCAGCAGAGATGAGAAGAAAGGGCCTTCCAGGCAAGAGCATGAAGAAAGGCATGGAAGAAAAGGAAAAGAATTTCAGGCCACTTTGGCAGACTCATGGGCTGTTTGAGGATGAGGGTAGTAAGGAAAGACTGAGCAGAAACAGAAAGGTTCCGGCCAGGTGCTCCAGGGCCTTGGAGGACCACCAAGAAGATGAGACTTTGTGCAGTGGGCAGCAGGGAACCACTATGGGTTTCCAGGCCCGAGGTAGCCATCCTCACTCCGCTGTAGGACAGTTAGTCAGTCTGGCTGCAGTGGGGGGATGGGTGGTTGGGGGAGGGGGACCTCGCAGCAGGAGAACTGGCTGGAGGCTATCCAGCACTCCAGGGAGAGGGCTCCCACCAGAGTAATTGTACTGAGAGTGGGGAAGAGAGCAGGGATTCTGGAAACTTGGGGGGCTGTGGGGCCAGTGGCTAAGGGAGGACATAGGGTAGACATGAGTGTGTGTTAGGGGGCACTGGAAGGTGAGGAATGACTTCAGTTTTGAACTTGTTGGTTTTGAGGTTCCCACATACATTCAATCATTCGGCTAATAATTATTGAGTGTCTGCTGCTTGCCAAGCACTACTTTAGGCTCTACAAAGAGTAAAACCAAGTCCTTGCACTCACATAGCTCACATTTTAGCTGGTAGAGATGGAAGACAGACAGATAAATATGAAATGTGTCACTAGTTGTTAAGCGATACGGAGAAAAATAGTAAAGCAGGCATGGGTGGAGCTACCCCACAGAGAGATGGGAATGGAAGGGCAAAGCTCAGGAAGGAGATAGGGACAAGCAGTCTGTGTCTCCAAGGAATGCCTGTCCCTGGGTATTCTGTACCTATTTGCCCTCCATCCATGGGATGGTCTAGGAGTCCAGGACCAATGGGCCCATCTCCTCATCCCCCAGGTCACCATCCTTAATGGCTCAGACGTTCGATCCCTCTACAACTTCTCAGGGGAACAGGTGAGGACACACCCCAGTTTGGCCCTCTGACAACAAAACCCCAGCCTGACCCAACACCCTCAGCCCAACTTTCCAACCTCCCAGGAGTCTCTGAACTCCCGCTCACAGTGCCTGTTGCTCCAGTTTTTCGACTCTTTAGTTCTGACTCAGTGCTGCCCCTTTGTCCTCCCCAGATGGCCTCCTACTTTGGCTATGCAGTGGCTGCCACAGACATCAATGGGGATGGGTGAGTAGTGGGAAAGGGAGGGGGAAACCACATACCCTTCCCAGGTCCAGGAGGGAAGAGTGGGGGTGGGGCAGAAAAATGCAAGGAGAGTTTTTTCCAGGATTTTTTCTCTGGGTTCCCCTTGCTCAGGAACAAGGAGAGGGCTGAGAGCTAAAAACCAGAACATCTCAGGTCTTCTGACTTGGGTGGGAGGTAATCTGGGGCCCAAGATGCCTGGGATTTTCTGGCACTAGGATTGGAGGTTTGGTGGCAAAGCAGGGTATCTTGATGCCTGTGTTTTGCCCCTACCCCCAGGCTGGATGACCTGCTGGTAGGGGCGCCCCTTCTCATGGAGCGGACAGCCGACGGGCGGGCCCAGGAGGTGGGCAGGGTCTATGTCTACCTGCAGCACCCAGCTGGCATGGAGCCCACACCCAGCTTTACCCTCACTGGCCATGACGAGTTTGGCCGATTTGGCAGCTCCTTGACCCCCCTAGGGGACCTGGACCAGGATGGCTACAATGGTAAACACCATGGGCTCAGGAAGCTGAGGAGTCAGGGCCTGAGTCAGAGGGATTTGGGGGGAACATGGCTGTCACCTAAGACCCCCAGTGACTTGCCAAAGAGCTCTATGGACTTTAATTCCAATGTCTGGGTCTTTGGGATTGACAGATGGGAAAAAATAAGGTCTTAGGGTCTAGTGGTAGAGATTTGGACGCCCGGATTCCTGGACTACTGACTGCTGTGTGTGTGCCTTGCAGATGTGGCTATTGGAGCCCCCTTTGGTGGGGAGACCCAGCAAGGGGTAGTGTTTATATTCCCTGGGGGCCCAGGGGGACTGGGCTCTAAGCCCTCCCAGGTTCTGCTACCCCTGTGGGCAGCTGGCCACACCCCGGACTTCTTTGGCTCTGCCCTGCGAGGAGGCCGAGACCTGGATGGCAATGGATACCCTGGTGAGTTATGCCCGAGGCCCCTTTCACCTTAAATTCCCTGGTCACAGACCCTACAACTACCCCTTCTGCACCTTTCCCAGCCCTCTGAGCTGGGTACAGCTCTAGACTAAGGACACCAGGTGGCGCCGTCACCTCACTTCAGCCTCCTTAAGTAATGGAACTAGGAATCTCTCCTTAGAAGGGTGTTAGGAAGGATCCTAATTTGGGGCTTGCTGTCAGGGATGATTTCTTGACTTCTTGCAGATCTGATTGTGGGGGCCTTTGGTGTGGACAAGGCTGTGGTCTACAGGTATGAACTCGGGACAGCCTGGGCAAGTGGAACTGGGGAATTTCTCAATAAGGCTGAGGTTGGGAGTCAGTGCAGAGGACCCTGGGGTACTGGGGCTTGGGAACCAGGTTCCTGAGCCTAGGTTACAGGGAACCTTAGGTCTATCTACCCTACATCCACTCTCCGCAGGGGCCGCCCCATCGTGTCTGCCAGTGCCTCCCTCACCATCTTCCCTGCCATGTTCAACCCTGAGGAACGCAGCTGCAGTTTAGAGGGGAGCCCTGTGGCCTGGTGAGCTGAGGCCCAAGAGATTGCGGAGACCTGAGTCTAGGATACCTCTGTCTGGGCCTGGGCGGGGGTGGGGGACCATGTCTGTCTTAAGAAGGGGACAAATGGGGGTATCCTAGTCTGGGTGTGGCTGGGAGGTAGGTGGAGGATAGGATGCCTGTTCCAGTTGGGTTCACCAGCTTTCCTCTTGGTCTTTCTGCAGCATCAACCTTAGCTTCTGCCTCAATGCTTCTGGAAAACACGTCCCTGACACCATTGGTGAGGGAGGCTACCTGGGTCTGTCAGGCACTGGGACAGGGAGTGGAGGGGCTGGGGGCCTGGGTCCTTCGCTTCTCTCTGAATAGATGAGGAAGGAGAGGCAGAGTGTCCTGACATACATCCCACCACAGGCTTCACGGTGGAACTCCAGTTGGATTGGCAGAAGCAAAAGGGAGGAGTGCGGCGGGCGCTGTTCCTTACCTCCCGACAGGCGAGCCTGACCCAGACCCTGCTCATCCAGAATGGGGCTCGGGAGGACTGCAGAGAGATGAAGATCTACCTCCGGGTATGGCCCTGACTGCAATGGGATGAGGGCTGGCCTGGGAGGGTAGTCACATTCCAAGTAAGGGTTTGGGACTCTTGTGGGGCTGATGAAAGGGGCCCTCTGTCAGAGGGGCTGGGAACAGACTGCCAGGGCCCCTGAAGCAATGAGAGTGGTCAGGTTTGGATTCCTGGATTCTTTTGGACCTGAGCAGACAGAGGGAGGTGCAAGAGGCTGAGAGCCAGGCCACCAAGTCCCCAGAGTCCCCTGACTCTGCAAATCCTCTCCCCTGGCCCCAGAACGAGTCAGAATTCCGAGACAAACTCTCCCCAATTCACATCACCCTCAACTTCTCCCTGGACCCCCAAGCCCCTGTGGACAGCCATGGCCTCCAGCCTGTCCTACATTACCAGAGCAAGAGCCGGATAGAGGACAAGGTAAGGTCAGGGCTGGGAATAGGGGCCCGGGAAGAGAGAGGCCTGAGTACCTGGGGGCGAGGTCCTGGCGGGGGTGGGGGGCACCTATAGCTCAGGAGGGGGTCTAAACTCCCCTTCTGAAAGCTGTCCTGCTCCCCAGGCTCAGATCCTACTAGACTGTGGAGAGGACAACATCTGTGTGCCTGACCTACAGCTGGAAGTGTTTAGGTGAGTAGGAGCAAACATCAAGCCAGGGGTTCCATATGCCAGGGTCTTGTAGCAGGACAGGTGGAGCCTGGAAGCAGAACACCTGAGTCTTGGTGCCTGAAAAAGTAGAGACGACACATACTAGCTGTGTGATCTTGGGAAGTTACTTAACTTCTCTGAGATTCAGCTTCTTCACCTGTATAGTGGGAATAGTAACATCTATTTCTCTGGCTTTTTAGAAAGATTAAATGAAATAATCTACATAAAGCATCTAGTTTACTGCCTGTCCTATAGTTGGAACTCAGTAAATGATGTCTATTATTACTGTATTGTTATTGGTATGATTATGGACCATTGTCTTAATTGTGGATTAATTCTTCAGTGTCCCTTATCTTATGTCACCTCAGAACTCCCCCATCCAGGGAACAGAACCACTATGTTTACCTTGGCGACAAGAACTCCTTGAACCTAACTTTCCATGCCCAGAATGTGGGTGAGGGCGGCGCCTATGAGGCTGAGCTTCGGGTCACGGCCCCTCCAGAGGCTGAGTACTCGGGACTCGTCAGACACCCTGGGGTGAGAGGGGATTCTCTGGAGAGGCTTGGGAAAGCAAAGGAGACCCTGCCAGAGGGAACACCCAAACCTTATCTGCACCCACTCCACCTCTAGAATTTCTCCAGCCTGAGCTGCGACTACTTTACTGTGAACCAGAGCCGCCTGCTGGTGTGTGACCTGGGCAACCCCATGAAGGCAGGAGCCAGTGTAAGTCTGGGAGAGAAGAGGAGGAAGCTAGAGGGGGAGAAGGCCTGAGACAGTGACTGGCCAGTCCAGAGCATAACCGTGGGGTGGGAAACGAGGGTTGGAACTGGGGTGAGGCAGGCGCCCAATCTAATAGTCCCGCTTCCTTCCTTCCCTATCTTGCAGCTCTGGGGTGGCCTTCGGTTCACAGTCCCTCATCTCCGGGACACGAAGAAAACCATCCAGTTTGACTTTCAGATCCTTAGGTAGGGAGTGGGTGGGGCCAGGCTGGGGCTGAGTCTGGGGCAAAACAGGGAGGGCTAGGCAAGGCCAGAGCCTGGTGCTGGGAAGAATTCTGGCTCTGCTGGGCTCCAGCACCACTCAGTCTCCCCTCCATCCCACAGCAAGAATCTCAACAACTCACAAAGTGACGTGGTCTCCTTCCGGCTCTCTGTGGAGGCTCAGGCCCAGGTCTCCCTCAACGGGTCAGTGCCAGGGCCAGATGGGGCCTATATGGGAGGGAGACAGACTTCTAGGGAAGGAAGCATGTGGGTCCCTTCCACTCTCCTCTAAATCACCCTCCTCCTTAGTGTCTCCAAGCCTGAGACAGTGCTATTCCCAGTGAGTGACTGGCATCCCCGAGACCAGCCTCAGGAGGAGGGGGACATAGGCCCTGCTGTCCACCACGTCTACGAGGTGAGGAGGGAGAAAGGCAGGGAAGAGCGGGTTGTGGGCAGATGAGAGGGCGTGGAGGAGAGAATGGTATGATGACGGAGAAGGAGGAGCTAGTCTGAGTGGCAGATGACTGGGACCAAAGGGAAGGGAGAGGGGCAAAAGAGGGATGGGCTGGTGAGTGATACACAAAGGCATAGGGCAGGGGCGGTGTGGGAATCAGCCAGTGGAGTTGGAGAGGAAAGACAGAGCCTCTGCCAGGAGTGTTGTTAGCTGGAGTGTATTTCTTCTCTGCTATTGATTCCCTCTGTCTCTTCTGATATAGCCTCCCAGCAGGGTACAATGGGGCTAAGGTGATCCAGGGTCTCAATGGGGCAGAATCTCTCCCTTCCTTCTGCTGATGGTTGTGCTTTCCCTCCTCAGCTCATCAACCTGGGCCCCAGCTCCATTAGCCAGGGCACACTGGAGCTCAGCTGCCCCCAGGCTCTGGAAGGTCAGCGGCTACTCTATGTGACCAGGGTCATAGGACTCAGCAACTGCACCACCAGTCACCCCCTCAACCCACAGGGCCTGGAGGTGAGGGGCCTGGAGACTGGCGTGGGGTGGGGAGGTCCAGAGGACCAAGGCTGAGGGGTTTGGAAAAGTCTCCTGGCGCCTGGAAGAGCCGATGAGGATGTGGCCGAAGCTAGGACTGAGGCCACTGAAAGCTCAGAAGGCCACAGACACCTCAAGGCCCCGGGAGGGAAGAAGCCTCTTTTATCCATTGTATTTATCTGTTTGCCTGGAAATTCCTTCCTGTATTTCTTGCCCTAGCATACTTCTGGGGCCCAGCTCTATGTCACCTCCTCTGGGAAGCCTTCAGACCTGTCCCCCTGGACTCCAGCGCCTGTTTTTTGAAGTTTATATACTCCTTAACGGCGTTTAATTAAATGAGCACCTATGCTGAGCACTGTCATAGGCTCAGGAAATAGCTCACTGAATAAAACCAGCAGGGTCCCCACTATCGTGGCGCTTACATTCTAGTGGAAGGAGACACACAATAAAAATTAGAGAAGTTAACTGGTAAGGAAAAGTGATGAACGTGTGGTGCTGATATGCTATGATAGGACTGGAGACTATTTAAGTTGAGTGATCAGGGAAAACTTCTTGAGGAGGTAACAGTTGGACTGAGGCCTGAAAGACAATAATGAACTGATCTGTGAAGACTCAGGGGAAAGCATCCCAAGCAAAGGGAATAGCCAGTGCAAAGGCCCTGAGGTGGGAACGAGGGCCTAATTATTTATTTACACATCTCCATGCTCTCCCTTCATGTAAACTCCAGGGACTATGTTTTATTCATTTCCATATTTTAATGCTGAGCTTGGTGCCTTACACATAGGCGGTGACGGGTGGATGGATCGATGAAGAGATGGGTAAAAGAATAGGTTGACGATGCTCTGGAACCCAGGTGCAGGCTGATGTAGAAGCTGTAATGAGGTAGGAGAGGCAGGCAGATGAAGATCTCTTTTCTCTTGCAGTTGGATCCTATGGGTTCCCAGCACCACCAACTGCAAAGACGGGAGGCTCCAGGCCGGACCCCTGCCTCCTCGGGACCTCGGATCCTGGTAAGTTGTGTTACAAATGAGGTCTGCATCCAGGCATTGAGTACATGTTTGAGTTCTCAGAGCCCGCGGCAGGGCAGAATCCCAGGTGCAAGCCTCCTCTTTGTTCCCAGAAATGCCCGGAGGCCGAGTGCTTCAGGCTGCACTGTGAGCTAGGGCCACTGCACCGGCAAGAGAGTCAAAGTCTGCAACTTCATTTCCGAGTCTGGTCCAAGACCATCCTGCAGGTGAGGGAACTTTACCTCATCCCTGACACCTGACCTTCAGCCCTGACTGGACTGACTTTCCCGCTTCCCCACTGCCCTAGCCACTTCTCAGTGAACGGGACCCAGGCGTTCTAACTCACCTTCCATGCCCTTGTGTGTAGACTGGGCTGTGTGTCTTTGGCGCCACCTAGGGGCCACACTGGGAGTGACATCTTCCCTTTCCTGGCTCATTCAAACCAAGAGGGAGTTGGAGGGACAGCATGCAAAGAATGATAGAAAAACAGAGAGATGGAAGATGAGTCTACAGTGGAGAGGCAAGCAGACATAGGAATAGTAAAAGCAACTGTTTATCTACTGTATACTATGGGTCAGGCATCGTCCTGGGTGCTTAACCCACATTAATAATTGAAAAAAAAAAATTTATTGAACATGCACTTATCTAATTCCATACTATTTAATTATTTAATTACATGTTTATTATCTCATATAAGGTAAATATACAGAGATTCAGAAGAGAATGAATCAAAAATAGGGAAAATGACAACCTGAGCCCTGGTGGCACAGTGGTTAAGCATTTGGCTGCTAACCAAAAGGTTGGCAGTTCAAATCCACCAGATACTCCTTGGAAACCCTATGGGGCAGTTCTGCTCTGCCTGTAGGGTCACTATGAGTCAGAATTGACTCGACGGCAATGGGTTTGGTGTGTTTTTTTTTTTTTTTTTTTTTTGAGCCAGACCATGGGGAGCCCTATGTCCCCTACATTCCAAGTGGGGCTGCCCTGACTACCTTGTCCCCTACTCATAGCGGGAGCACCAGCCATTTAGCCTGCAGTGTGAGGCTGTGTTTAAAGCCCTGAAGATGCCCTACCGAATCCTGCCTCGGCAGCTGCCCCAAAAGGAACTTCAAGTGAGTCCAGGGCCAGAGTTACTGGGCTCAGAGTACTGGGCCTGGCACTAGGGCTGGGACACAGGTGGGGCGGGGGGGAGGGTGTGGCTTGATATTGTACAAAATATCTATGGAGCATCTACTATGTGCCAGGCACTGTGCTAAGTGCCGGGGATACAGTGGTAAGCAAAAGCAGCATTGTATCTTCCCTCCTGGAGTTCACAGTCTAACAGTAATGACAACAATGTGATAAGTGCCAGTATGTTTACGGGAGCACATCATACGGGCACCTGAACTCAGAATCAGGGAAGGCTTCCTGGAAAAAGTGATGTTTAAGCTGAGACCTGAACAATAAATAGGAACTAACCAGGCTAACCAGTCAGGAAAAGAATATTCTGGAGAAAGGGAATGGTAGATGTGAAGGCCCAAAAGAAGAAACAATATTGCACATTTTAGGAACTGAAATTTTTAAGTTCAAAATGTTGTTAGCCAAAAATGCGAGGCGGGGGGGCATCTAGGTCCAATGGCAAGTAGGGGCCAAGTATAGGGTGGGAAGAACTTCTGGGTTTTCAGTGACCTCACCTGACTTGCTCCCTAGGTGGCCACGGCCGTGCAGTGGACCAAGGCAGAGGGGAGCCATGGCGTCCCACTGTGGATCATTATCCTAGCCATTCTCATTGGCCTTCTGCTCCTAGGTCTGCTCATCTACGTCCTCTACAAGGTTAGCCATGTCCTGCCCAGCCCGTGACTTAGCCACCCTCTCATCAGGCTCTGCCCTTGACCCAGTGCAGCCCCCAGTATCCACCTCCAGACCAACTCTCCAGCCACATGACCCCACCTCTGCCCTGGCCACATGCATCCCATGAGGACCCTGTCTATATGATCCCATACTTCATTCTACATCCCCTAGCTTAGAAAGAGTCTCTTGCCTCAAGCTGATAAATTTTCCGTACTTTCAAAAACAAAGTAACCCACCAATGACAAATATGTGGCATATGCTATCACTTCCCTCCCAAACCCATGGCAGCCATCACTAGCCTAGAAGTGGCCTCAGAATCCTCAAGAGGCTGCCACTATCGGACAGTCAGAACTGGCACTTGAGTTCAAACCTATTTGCCATTCGGACTTAACTGGGGGCATTTATATGGCACTGGGGAAAGACCCTTCCCCATACCAAACCACCCCCAGCTTTAGGGCTTCTGGGCCCATTGGGCCTGTCAGAGGTGTAATCTTGGCAGTCTGAATTCAGAGGCCACTTTTGCAGGGTAAGGAGGCTAGAGGCACTAAAATCCTTCTCATTCCCTCTTGGGATAAGAGCTGGGCAGAAATGGAAGCCAGGGTATCTAAACTCTCTTTCCTCTCTTCTATATTAGCTTGGATTCTTCAAACGATCCCTCCCATACGGCACCACCATGGAAAAAGCTCACCTCAAGCCTCCAGCCACCTCTGATGCCTGATCCAGACTCCCAAACCTGAAGGCCCAGTCCTTCCCCATCCCCCAGTCTGCTGACAGGGAGGGGCTTGGGCACTTCCTGAAGGTGCTGAGGGCCAGGGAGAAGCTCCTCTCCCCAGCCCAGAGACATACTTGAAGGGCCAGAGTGGGGGGGCAAGGAGCTGGGGACCCCCCCCATGCACTGTGAAGGACCCTCGTTTACATGTGCCCTCCTCATAGATGGGGGAACTCAGATCCAGGGACAGAGGCCTCAGCCTCCCTACAGCCTTTGCATTTGGGAGAGAGACTTCTCTGAAAACAACTTGGAACCATAACTGGGGAATCCATTCTCAGTTCTCTGAGCTTGACATGCCACCAGGACTTCCTGTCCAGCCTCATCCTGCAAAGATCTGCCCTCGGCCTTGCCAGGGACCCAGAGGAAGCCCCAGCTAAGAACCTGGAACCTGGGGAGTAAGACCTGGCAGCTCCGGAGAGTCCCCATCCTGGAACACTAACCATGGATGGTGCCCCAGGACCATCTCAGGGCAGATCCCAAACAAGGATTGATGCTGGCCCAGAATCCAGCTCCAGGGGGAACCAGAACTCAGATAGGACCAGATCTAGCCTATGGCCTGGGACTGATCCAGGACCCTGAATCAGACCATCGGTAACCTAACCAGGCGATCCAGGACAACATTTGGGCCTGCTCTAGACCTGGGCCTGGAGGCCCAATCAACCCCTGATTCAGGAGAAGTCAGGAATTGCCCAGGACCCTGAAGGGGCCATGATGGCAACAGATCTGGAACCTCAGCCTGGCCAGACGTAGGCCCTCCCATTCCCCCTGGAGAAAGGGGAGCCCATTGTCCTAGGCTCGCAGGATTTGGGTTCTGCCCACCAGCTGCACTGACGCTGCCCCTCCCCTCCCTGCCCAGCCTTCCCCTCACCTTGGCTCCGGGATACCCGGGACTTATTTAAACTCTGTTGCAAGTGCAATAAACCCAGCCTGGGGTCCCCACTGACCAGAGCTGGAATCGGTGTCCTTCTACCCCACTCTTTCTAAATCCAGTCTGGAATCAGCTTGGTGGGAAGGAGATGCCTGTGTTTCTCATAGCTTCTTTCCACTGAGAGCCAGGAGTATAAGCACCAGGAGCTGGGAAAGAGATGATGGAAGAGGAGAAAAGAGGACTTGCTTCCTCGGCCCTTCACCCAACCCCCACCGGGTCTGGTCCCCAACACCCCCAAGGGAGAAGAGAAAGGAATCCCTGCTCTCTGGGTTTGAGGATCAGAGGAGAATGCAAAAGGGAAAGGTCCAAGCTGGGGTCCAGAGGACTCATCTGCACTTTCCTAAATTATTCTGATTTGAATAATTTAGGAGACTGGCAATGACCCACAAAATCAGTTGCAAGAAAAAACTGTGGAACTAAATTAGAGAAAAGAAAGCCAGTTAGGTTTTTGTTTTATTTGAATGCTATCAATAATCTTCTGAAGTAGGTACCATTAACCCCAATTTACACAAGGAGAAGCTGAGGCCCAGAGAGGTTATGTCACTTGCCCAAGGTCACATAGTAAGTGGCAGAGCAGAGTCAAACCCAGCCTTGTCTGACTGAAAGCCCTCATTCTTAACCAACATGCTATAGGGTTCAGGCCTTTGAAGAGAAATCATGCAAAGTGAGGTATCCCCTTGGAGTCCTGTCTCCTGGAGACCTGTCCTAAAGTATCGCAAATAGAAGCGTGAGGTTGGTGAAATTGTAATGGGGTTGGAGGCAAAGATGTTGGGCTATATCAGAATTCAGCCACAAGAGGGCAGCATAGCCACAAATTTATGGAGCTTTTGGGAAAGGGGGTATGAAGTCCACCTCACCCTTTTCCCCCTCACCAGAGAGATTCTTTTTAACTCAGGCTCCTGCCTAGCAGTGCCCGCATCACCTGAAAATCTCCTGGGAGACCAAGCCTACTTCACACTCCACTCTGTGATTTCTCAATAATTCTGTACCTCAGGAACTTACTCCCAGAATTCACAAATGAAGAGGGACTTACAGGGAGGAAGAGACACAAGGCAAAGAGCCACCCAGTACTGCCAAAATGGTGTTTGTGGCATAACAAGGCATCTGGCATTCTCAAGGAAGGAAACCCCATACGTTCTCCAAAATGAATTCCCCCTCTTAGGGGGAAGGGTGAGGGTGACAGCAGCCAAACTCCAGGGGCCAGATCTCAGATTTCTTTCACTGCTGTGAGGAGGAGAAAATGGGAAGAGGAAGTGGGCTGTGAGTGTTGGGCTGGTGTCATGGATGTGTCTCTGTGTACTACCTGTACCTGTGAGTCTCAGAGAGTGACAGGTTCTCTCCCGAGGAATTCCTTGCTCAGAAATGCCACAGCTGTAATCTAGTATCTGCTTCTCTGTCCCTGAACTGAGATTCCCAGACTCTGATCTGTTTCCCCTCCCAAATCTCCCAGCACTCCAGAGCAAGTGTGCCTCTTACAAAGTGGCCCAAGGGAACATGAGGTGAGGGCCTAGGAGGCCTGAGCACTATCCTTGTCTGGATATTTGGAGATGGAAAGGAGGAGGGAGGGAGGCCCCACGAAGGGAACAGAGCAGCTGGGGGTGTAGGAGGGGAAGGGGGCTCAGGAGAGGCAGCTGGCAGGCGGGAAGCTGATCTGGGGGGTCTCAAGTTTCTTGACATCAATTAGAGCAGCCGGCCTGGGCTCATTAGTAGCCCGGGGTGCAGGGCTCATCAATAATGAATTCACCCCACACACTGCTCCCCCCAGCTGCCTGCAAGGTCACCCGGCCTGTCCACCCAGCTGCCTCCCCTTGGTAAGCTAAGCAACCCCTCTTCTGAGACCCTATCTCAGGGTCCCCGGGGGCATTGTGGGAGGGTGGACAAAGGACTGAGGGCAAAGGGGTCCCTGTCACTGATCAACCATGCCTGACGCTGACACTTATTTTGCCTTAGAGTCCACCCAATGGGGAGAAAGAATGGGAAAAGGAAAGGAGGGCTGTGTGTGTGGGTGGACATAGCAGGGTATGGGGCTTTGTGATACTGGATTTCTAGGGATAGGTGGAATCTGAAGCAAGAGGAGCTCCTCTGGTGAGCCCAGAGACCCCACATCCCATCCCAAAGCCAGACATGGGCAGCAAGGCCATAGTCCCCTGGGATCTCTGGGTCAGAACAAGACCATGACACTGGCACCCCACCATCCTCTTGCCCTTGAGCCTAAGCCAGCCTGACAGGTGCAAAAACAGATTTTTCCTTTATACCAAATAAATGGGGTAAGGATGAGATATCCCAGAAACAGAAATGTGACCTTTCTGTGCCTTAATTAGCCATCTAGTCCCATCTTCCAGAACCCAGGAATGCCAGTCCCCAGTCCCCTTCCTCTTTCTAGACTGTTCCTAGACTCCAGTCCTGCCATCCTTCCACCAGCCTCTTCCTCCCTGCTTCTACCCACCCCAGATCTCACGTGTTCTAGTTCCCAGACACAACCCCTTCCCCTCTGGCTGCTTGGCATGCTGGGAAACTTGACTTCTGCCCTACCTCTTGGGGCGGTACCGACAGGTCCCGGGCTGGAGGAGTGGCATCTTCCCCAGACGCCTCGCAGGCGGACTCCCAGACTCCAGCCTCACGCTGGGGTCCCAGATGCCCTTCAGCGAAGTCCTCCTGTGGCCCCCAGCACACATCCAAGTGTCCTGTACTCTCCTTCCCCCTGACATTCTCCACAGCCCATATATTCTGTCCTGCCCTCTATACTTCCCTCCACCTCACCAGACAGTCATCTCAATCCAGCAGTCCTCTGAAATCCAAGCTCACTTTTGATGGAATACCCAGGGTTTAGGCCATGGGTGGCTGCACCCTACCCCCATCCAGGTCATCTCTTCAAGGTTATTCCTCAGTTCTCATCTTCTGTCATCTTCCTAATGATCTCAGTTGCAAGCTTCTATTTTCACCTCCTCGGGCCCATTGATTGCAGACTCTTCACTGAGCCTTTTCCTAAGGACCCAGGCATTCAGATTCCAGCACCAGAAATCAACCTAGGAGCCATCTTCAGCCCCTCATTTCATCTCTGAGACCTAGCCCTCAGGCATCCTGCTCCAAAGCCAGAGAAACAAACTAGGATTGCCACCCCCCCCCAACTCCCAGCTCCGTAGGGGACTCAGGTGTCCCACCCAACCCAGGCCCCATCCTTCCCCCAGAGTACTAAGGCATTCCGTCACCACATATCAGCCTAGGACCAGACTTCCCACCCTCAGACTCAGCCCATCGGGACCCAGGCATCTTAGTTTCCAGCTTCCTTCATCACCTCACACCGTCTTCTAGATGTCTTGTTTCCCCCAGCCCTGACTGCAGTGACACAGTAAATCCCAGGAGACCCAGGGGCAGCAAGTAGAGGGGCGGGAGGAAATGGGAGGGGTCCAGAAGCCGCCAGGACGCCCCCTCCTGGAGCCTTCAGTGCCCGGGTCCGCCCCTCCTCCCGTCTTCACCTGCTGCGGGCCCCGCCCCCGCTCCGCCTGGGCCTGCCTCTGCTCCTCCCCCGACTCCTCCCCCAGCACCCCCAGCCCAGCCAGAACGGCCCCCGGGACAGAGCGACGCGGAACCTCGGGCACCTGGGCCCCCAGCATGATCCTCGGTGAGTGGGCGCTGCGGCTCCAGGCTCCAGGCTCCTGGGTCCCTCTCAGTGGGTCACCCCCCAACCTCCCGGCACCGCGGTGACTGCGGCCGCCCGTCAGCGACTTGTTCCCCCTCCCCCTTCATCTGACTGCACATCTGGGGTCCCTGAGTCCCCTCTTCCCCAAGCTGCAGCTTCTCCCAGTAATCTAGTGAGTGGTAAAGGGGGAAGCAGAGATGAGTGAGACCCCTGCCCCATAATGAGACATTGCATATTCATGAGGTTCATGAATATTTTATGAAGTCTACGAGAGAGACTCGGGGAGAGGGCTGGTCCCGGCCTGGTGGAGTTGGGGGAGAGGATCTGACCCGTCCTTCCCCCACCCTCAGCTTAAACACTCCGACATCCGTCTGGGCCTAAGATAAGAGGGAGAGGAGAAAGTAGGGGGGCAGGGGAGATAGTGGGTGTAGCTTCGAGATGTGTGTGGTGGGAGGTGGGAACCTGAGGACTCGAGATAAGGGGGCTGGGGAGAAGAGGGGTGGGAAACTGTCCATCCCAGGGCCCCTGCGGCTCAGATCCTGCCTCTGCAGCCATCCTGCCCCAACACGCTGGGACCTGCCCTCTACCTCCCTGCTGTGGCAGCCTGGGCCCTTCCTCCCTGTCTTCTCCCCTGCCGCCGTCCCCCCACCACCACCCCGCCTTGGTCTGGGGGCGCTGGAGGAAGGAAGGACGATATGGAGAGTAAGGCTGGGGGAAGGGAACTCGTGCTGGGCTCTGACAGCCCGTCAGCCACAGCCACCCCATCCTCATGACCTACATCGGGAAGGGAGCCCTGGGGGTGGGGGAGGAGACGGCCTAGCTGTGCCTGGACTCCTCATCGGCCCGGCTTCAGGCCTGTGCCCTCCGACCTGACTCCACAATAGTCCACAGGCTTGCTCTGACCTCTGCCCTCCACCCTGGCTAGGCCGGTTCCTGGACCCTGTTTATGGTAGGAGCCCCCCTATTAGGCCCAGACACCTGTGGTCTCCCCGCCCTCTACTGGGGACACCTGGCTCCTAGCTGGTGCCCCAGGGCTTGACTGGCTCCTGCCCTCATCCCTCTGCTGAGTCCCTCTGCTATTCGTGGTCCTCTTTCCCTATTCAGGAAACCCTTGTGCTGTAGTGGTTAAAAATTCAGCTGCTAACAAAAAGATCAGCAGCTCAAATCTACCAGACGCCCCTTGGAAACTCTATGGGGCAGTTCTACTATGTCCTATAGGGTCGCTATGAGTCAGAATCAACTTGA